ATTTTTAGGACTAATAATTGAGTAAAATGCAACATGGCATACACACACACACACACATATGCATGTATGTATCTGTAAGAGGTCATCAAAAAGTTCATGGAAATATTTGTATTATCTTTTAATTACATTTTTCTGCAAACGTTTTTTAGTGCTCTCATATACAATTAAATCATTTCTTATGTGTGAGATAATATTTAGTATGCACAGAAAAGTCTATCCAAGTAAGCATTTCCAACTCTCTCTTCACATTTATCTTAAGATTTGTCAGAATTACACAATTACGGCTCAAATACTCTGGTAAAGATTTATATATTATTGCGCAACACTCATCTCAAAAACCACAATGTTAGCTGTGGGTCAAAAATCTCTTTTGCTAACAAACAACAAAGTCGTTGGCTGGAAATAAAATGAGAAAAAAAAAACCATGATATTTTCCAAAGGAAGTTCATAAGAAAGGGGGAAACTCTGTTCCAATCAGGTTATAACTTGTCCCTGATGCTGCAAAGAAAAGACCTGGGAAGAGTTTCCATGAAATGAAAGGATTTAAGAGCAGGCATTCCCAGCAGCTCAATCATTTGCCCACCATAGAGGATGCTTAGCCTGAGGCCAGATCACAAAAGCACAGCACTCAATTTTCTGATTTAGCCAAGGAATCTGTGAGCCCAATAAAACTGAGTCTCACACCCAGAAGAAGTATGATTGGGGAGCAGAGGACTGAGTAACCGTTTGTGATGATCCAAAGGTAATGTATATCAATGATTCAGATTAGGATTAAAAAACAATAATAAAATAAGCGGGGTAATCAATAAAATAGGAATATCAGTGGTCAGACTTTGAAATTTGTACATAAGTTGTTTACAGCTTTATCTTTTAAGTGCCTGCTTGCCCACCAACTGTGAAACTAATACCACTCCCTTGTCCACTCCATCACAAGACCCCCATTTTCCCAGTATGAGATCCCAGTTATGCTTCCATCTGACACCAGATGTCTAAGTGCACCCAGACAGCCCACAATACCCTCATCAAGAGGCACCTCAAGGAAAGACAAGATTATTATTTTCTTCCACAAGAATTATCACTACAGTATCTGTCATAACACTTTACTTATTAAAATAGAAATGACAGAGATCAACACATTTCAAACATAAAAGACAAAATAAAAACTCTCCAAGATTCTGTGTTTAATTATTAAATAAAAAACGTAGTGAATGTAGGAATGACAATGCTGAAAAGAATCTGAATTCAAATACCTTCTTTATGTTTTATTGAACTTATGTGTAATATCACAATAGAAAGTGCCACTGTTAATATTCATTGCATTCAAATGAGTACTATAATTGACCACAATCAATCTTCAGAACAAAATTCCATTCCAGACACAATTTTTCTACTGAACTTTATTTTTTTTAAATGAAGAGAAGTTTTTATACTCAGCTCATCAGAAAATAAAATGATATAGCAGTGCCAAGCAAAATCATAAAGTTATCTAAACTATGTAAGCGAAATTAACTTACCTAACTACTTTCTTAATTTCTAAATTTCACTATAGTAAGGTTCTATGCATTACATGTTCTCATTCATATAATGGAAGCTAAAAAAGTTGATCTCATAGAAGTAGAGAGTAGAATAGTGGTTACTAGAGACTGGTGGGGGGAAGATGTAGAGGGGATGGGGAGAGGGAGGTCTGTGGATATAAAACATTAGAGAGATAGGAAGAACGGGATCTAGTGTTCTGCAGTAATGTAGGAAGACTACAGTTAATGAGAAAGTACTATGTATTTTTTAACAGCTAGTCAAGACGATGATGAATGTTCCTAACACAAAGTAGTAACCAATGTTTGAGGTGATGGATATACTAAGAACCCCGATATAATCATTGCACACAGTATGAATGTACCCAATTATCATATTGTACTCCATAAATATGTACAATAATCATGGGTCAATTAAGAAAAATAAAGAGGAAAAAAGAAGGAAATCGAGAGTAGAAGAGTGATTACCAAAGGCACGGAAAGGGAGGGGGAAGGGTGGCTGGGGAAAGGTTGGTAGACTGGTACAAATTTACAAAATTACAGTTAGATAGGAAGAATAAACTCTGGTGCCCTCGGGGGACAATAGCTAATAGTATTACATATTTCAAGATACCCAGAAAAGAGAACCTTGAATGTTATAACCACAAAGAAAGGATAAGCATTTAGGTGATAGATTTGCCAACTATTCTGATTAAATCTTTATACAATATATGCATGTATTGAAACAACAAACTGTACCCCATAAACATGTACAATGAAAAAAAAATTAAAAATGTAAAAAAAATTTTTTTAAAAGGTTATGTGCATTAAATTGAATTGAATTTAAAATTCCTTCTGAATCATGATTTACGAAAATATAAAATGGATTTACAAAATAAAATTTCAGATTAATTTTATTTTTCTGAAAAATAAGAGAGAGTAACTGCTATAGCAAAACCTTCAAGTGTTAGAAGAAAATGTTATCAAAGAGGGGAAGATGATCATGCAGTTATTTTGAGTCAGAAATTATGTGGGAGGAAACGTAAGTGGCTGAAAGTTATGAACAGAACTGACAAATACACACATTTAACACGTCAAAATAGTCACTAACAATTGCTAGACATTTCAACTTGAAAACCAGATGTTGGGCCCTTCTTTATTGAAACAAGATTACTGAAGGCAAAATTAGGTTAATTTCTCATGTGCCTAGTCATGTTTTTCTATGCCATGACCACCATCAGTACATCTAACTGGCTAGTTATCCAGAAAAGTAATACCCTGAGTCACAAGATGGATTGAAAGATTGAGCCACAGAAGACTGGGGTAGGGGCAATATTCAGTCCATAAAAGACCCCATTGAGCATTTCTTGTAGGAGAGGTCTACTAGCAATAAAATCCTTCATCTTTTGTTTACTAGGACTGTCTTAATTTCTCCTTCCTTATTCAAAAAATAGTTTTGCCAAATACAAAAGTCTTGGTTGACAGTTTTTGTTTTTCTTTCACAACTTTAAATATTTTATTCTACTGCCTTCTGGTCTCCATGATTTCTGACTATTAATCTGTGGTTAATTCTACTGTAGATCTCTTGAACATAAACAGTAGCTTCTCACTGCTTTAAAGATTCTCTTTGTCTTTGGCTTTTGACAGTTTTATTATAATGTCTCCATGTGAATCTCTTTGAGTTTATCATACTTGGTATTTGATGAGTTCTTGGATGTGCAGATTCCTGTCTTTTACCAAATCTGGGAAGTGTTTGGACATGAGTTCCTCAAGTATTCTTTTTGCAGCTCTTCTCTTCTTTCTCCTCTTCCAGAGACTTCTGTTATTCATATATTGATATGCTTGATGCTGTTCCACAGGTCTCTTAGACTTGGCTCATTTTTTCTTTAATTCTTTTTTTTTCTTTCTGCTCTTTAGACAAAAAATCTCAATTGGTTTATCTTCAAATTTGCTGAAATCCTCTAGTAAATTTTTCATTTCAGTTGTATACTTTCTAGTTCCATAGTTTCTATTCAGTTCTTTTCTATACTTATTATTTTCTGATTTGCTCTAATTGATGAGACATCATTCTCTGTTTCCTTTAGTTCTTTGTTCTTGGTTTCTTGTAGCTCTTTGAGCATATTTAAGAAAGTCAATTTAAAGTCTTTGTCTTGTAAGTACAATATACTTGCTTCTTCTTGACAGTTTCTACTAATTTCTTTTTTCCTGTAAGTGGATCATACTTTCTTGTTTCTTTGTATGACTCATAATAGTTTGATAAAAACTAGAAAATTTTAGTGTTATAATGTGGCAACTATGAAAATCAATCTCCCATCTTCACAGCTCTTTTTATTGCTGCTTGTTGTGAATTCTAGTTTGTTTAGTGGCTTTTTTAAAAACAGTTTTTGTAAAGACTGTCTTCTTAATATGTAGGGTTACTGAAGTCTCTGCCCCACTGGCTTTGTGGTCATCTAGTGAGTTCACAGAGATTTCTAAAATTTTGAAGTCAAAAAAAGAAATTCTCCTTGTTTTTGCTGGTTGGCTGTCTAGTGTGGTACTCTTTCAGTGTTTAGCCAGGCTATTTACAGCTCTCAACCTTTACTTTGTGCTTACACAGAACATAAAGAGTAGCCAAAGGTAAAAATTTAAGGTCTTCCAGTTCTTTCCTGAACATGATTCCAGCCATGTACACTTCATACTGTAATGTGGAAAATAGAACTCTTTTAAAAAAATTTTAACCAAATCTTTTATAATCAGAATATTTTTCTCATGAAAGGATGTTGAATTTTGTCAGATGCTTTTCCAGCATTAATAAAGATGATCATGTGGTTTTTGTTTTTGCTTTTATTAACATTGTGTATCACATTTATTGATTTGTGTATGTTGTACCAACCTTGCATCCCTGGGATGAAACCCACTTGATCATGGTGTATAATTTTCTGTATATGTTGCTGTATTCTGTTAGCTGTCTGGGGCCAAAGAGCCCGGTCATAGCCTGCCCAGGGTCATGAAGCCCTGCCAATAGCTATCTGACACTAAAGATATAAATGCTGTGACCTTTCTGCCTTTTTCTCCTTTTTACTGCTTGCACAGCCCTAGGCGTAGATCACTGCTGCTTTGCTTTAGATAGCTGAGAAATGTTCCATTTCCTGAAACGATTTGCCCTGTGGTTTTTCCCAGAATACATATGCATACTTCCTTATCTGCTGATTCCCTCCTGCTTTCTATATAAGCTGTGACCTTCTGGCTAATAAACGAGACTTGATCAGAATACTGTCTTGTCTCCATTTCTCT